TATATATATATATATATATATATATATATATACACACACACACACAGTAAATATTAAAACATTAAATAAAATATTTTATAATGTGTTTTATTTAATATAGTTTTGTCATATTTTAAAAATATTAAAATAAAATTACACTTGACACAAAATATTAAATAAAAAATATTGTATTGTGTGTTTTATTTAATATTATTTTATTTCAAAAATAAAGAAAATAAAATATAAAATAAAAAGATAAAAAAAAATAAAATAAAACTCTGATGTCTATAACTCTTATGACGTGATGCGTCTGTCCTGTTTTTGTCATTTGTGTTTGTTTCAGTGTTTCTGCTCTGTTGTGGTGTGGTGTGTTATGATGACCTGTCCTGTCCTTCTCTCTAATGTACTCAGAGGCACATTCAGGCATTTAACCCAGTTTGCCCATGTTGACCGTATGTTGTGTGTGTCTGTTTTATACAGCACAATCCGGATAAGTCGGAAAGGATGGCACATGCTTCTCAACTTCTGTTTCCACACGGCCCTGACGTTCGCCGTTTTCGCGGGAGGCATCAACCGAGTCAAATACCCCATCATCTGCCAGGCCGTGAGTCTTTCATCTGCGCTCACATTCTGTCCTTCAATGCATTAAATCGATTATTCATGTGTGCTGCATTATAATGCGGTATGTGCATGTGCATGTGTTTCTGATTGCCTCATGCATACAGTCTCTGACCTTCATGAAACTGCTGTATAGACTTAGCATCATATATTTGCACTTGAGATGCTGTCGTGCCTTCAGGGGCTTTCAGCGGCGCTTTTGTCAAAACGTGTGTGTTTGTGAGGCTCTATTCTCGTGAGTATCACCAAAAAGCTTTAGTCATTGTGTTGCACGACTGCATTTCGTCCCACATTATGGACTAAAGATAAAGCAGACGATGTGAAAGCGTGGCTCAGTGGGACGCTGTACGCTTCTATAAGTGCAGCGTCTTTTATTCGGCTCTAAACCCTGCAGGATTCACATGCATCTCTTTGGATTTTTAACCCCGTTCAGATCTGGTGAATGAATGAGAGCAGCAGAAGCCAAAATTTAAATGTAGTACTTTTACTTTTTAATTCTACTTCCTTAAGTGCGAATTTGAGTTTTTTATTCTTTTTGCTACCTTTAGTGATTTATAAGGCGCAGCCCTGAATTATACAGTACATATGCATATGATAAACTAACCATTTTATAACATTATATAATGCTTGCATGCTTTTGAGAGTGCTAATGTTTAAAAATTGATTTGTCAATGTCTTATAAATTATTTAATTTAGTTTGAGTACAATTTGACTTGGCAACAGGATGCAAATTTACTAAAGGCATCTATCAGTTATTGACCTTGACATAAAAAAAAAGCTTTATTTAATTTTCAAAATAGTGTATTATTTATTATTTAATACTAGTGTACAAATCACCCCACGGGCCATATGTTTGACACCCCTGACTGAAAATATGATATGTCTTATAATGTTTAGTATATACTGCTCGCAGGCGATTGAAATGTTTAATCTTATTACTTGATGTACCGATTAATTAATCAGTTTAATTGCAAATTAATTACATATCAATTTGGGCTGAAAAATTACCCCCCAAAAGATAATTTCAAATCATTACTGTTAAATGAGAAAAACATTGAATAGACATTACAAAAAGTAATAATAGAATATATATATATATATATGTATGTATGTATGTACACACACACACAGTAATATATATGTAATAATATATGTATAATGTTACTTCTAACAAAATGTATATGTATATGTGTATGTATATGTGTATGTATATGTGTATGTATATATATATGTATATATGTATATATGTATGTGTATATATATATATATATATATATATATATATATATATATATAAGAAATTCTACACTAAATATGTAACAAAGCGCCAGTAGGTCTTAATGAGTTGAGTCATTTAATCATTCATTCAACTGATTCGTTCAAATGACTGATCCATTCAAACAAAGCGAGTGACTGTCTTTATGAATGAGTCACTGAATCATTGACTCACTCGATTCGTTCAAAAACGAGGATTCATTCAGTAACGCAACACTGCTGTGTGTCGCTTGCAGACTCTTGTTTATTGAACTAGTGTATAAAATCAATATCACGTTTGCAATCATGCAGTTATTCGAGAAAACAGCACTTTTACTTGTGTGATGTTGTTAAACTATATTATACAATATAAATATAAGACAAAAACCCATACAAGGGCATTTTTGCACTCATTTCTTGAATTTTAAGGCATATAACTGTATTCTAACAGTCAGTCGTCATGCATCATTTTATTTACAAGTTTGAAAACTCACTTTTTGCAGTGTATATAATATACAGTAATGGGGAGCAGGTTTTTTGGCCAGCGTGATTTCAAAGTGAAACAAAGACAAAATGCCATCAAGGTCATCGCTGCACAGGACAAAAGCTCAGATTTCCACACGATCGCTCACGTTGTGATGTTTGAACATGATGTTAAGCTCCAGGTCTGGCAGGGATTTTGGTGTCGCGGCTCAAGGTCATTCTCAGATTTATATTTATTCATCTCAGCGGGCCGCCTCTGATTGGCCTCGGCCGAGTGACGGATGGCGGAGGAAAGTGTAATCTGTGTAATGGGAATCAGTCATTCTCTCCTGATGATATGGATCTGAGTTATTGTTCTCTCTCTCCTGAGTGTTTGTGAACATGTATGTTGTGTTCACAGCCCCAGACAGACGCTGAGAAAATCTGATTATTTGATCCGCTGTCTCTGCAAACACAGCGACTCGTAAGTGGATGAGAGAAATTATATTTAGCCGGGATTCCTGCTGAATATATGACAGCGCAGCGTTTAATTTAGATTACAGATGAATAAAATAAACACAATGCGACAGCGGAGACGGGAGGCTTATTTAGTGTTATGTTCAGCTGAGTGTGCTTAACATTTATCTGTGTTTCCTTACAGAACTGATGATTAACTCTATCAAGTTTATTATTTCACACTCGATCTCCTGCATGCATTCTGTCGTCTGATTGAGAGTTTAGAGTTTTTTATCCAGTCAAAGCTCTTTTAGTGTAATTGTACAAACGCTTCTCGTGTCTTTCTGCTGTCAAATCTTGACTGGTTTTGATCAAGTAAGCGTCAGAATAACTGCAGTAATATCTCCAGATGAACACTTACTGGACTGAAGCAGCTCAGCTTTACTTGATTCGCCATCAATTATTTTTGTAGAAATATCAGTGAGTCTCAAATCTGATCATCAGGATCTTTTGAGGAGCGTTTGTTTCCAGAAGCTTTACTTTCACTGTTCCTCAGCGGAGGAATGATCTTCACAAGCCTCCAGAACATCTCACATCTTCTGAGGAGCCTTTATTTCTTCAGCTCTCAATCACTGCATTATATGTTTGGATCATTTCAATCTCATCTTACTGAGACAGATTACTGGAGATATAGAGCGACCGCTGATATTCAGATCATTTTATGTCAGTATCTGCTCTACTGTTATAAAGATCTCACTGATTTACATCACAAGCAGCAGAATTTCATCATAGAAATATCAGCATCTGCACCAAATT